CGGCGCGGGGACGTGGCCGCCGAGCCCCGGCCCGGCTCCCGGCAGCGGAGGCGGGGCGCGCCCTACCGTACTCTCTGGACTAGCCGCCCCGTCCCCTCGTCGGCCCCCGCAAGGGGCGGGAGGGGAGGGCATGGGTTGGGGGAAGACCCAAGGCTGCAGCGGCCGGAGGGGCCCGGGAACGCCGGAGAGGGCAGTGCGGGGGGGTTGGGGGGGGGGGCACGGGTCTGCAGCGCTCGGCCCGTCGCCGCAAAACCTGCGGGAGAGGGTTCGCAGGCGGGGGGAACGGGACCGCAGAGGCTTGGTAAAGATCCTACAGTTTGACAACGCAGGCATCAAGTCGCGTCGCCTCGGCATGGGAAGAAAGGCCGGGCAGGGAGCTGGGATCCCAGCTGCTGGCAGCTGCTGTTGACTCGAAGGTACCTTTGGTTCCCGCGCCCCTGCCAAAGAGAGCTCTGCTTGTGCGGGAAGAGCGTGAGTGTGCGCGGGCAGCTGAGCGGGAGGAGAAGGTGAGCGAGGGAACGGGTCCCTGAAGCACGTTTCGTCCGTCTGCGCCAACGGGGCGACTGGTGCCGAGCTTCCCTCCACCGTGCCACCCCAGTTTATGGCCTACCTACACGCTATTCTCGTCCCACCCGCTACGAAGGCAGGTCGTATTGCAATAAACTGCAATACTTGCAGAACAGTGAAGGAATATAAGCATTGACTTACTTTTGGGTGCCTTCGGACTTGTCCTTGCATGACTGATCAAGTTACTTAGCCGGTCTTCTGTGCAACATCAGCAGAGATCGCAACACTGCGAATTTCACAGAAATAAAATCCTACTTAGGTTTGTAACCTGATTTATCACCTTCGAATGTACAGTGTGACAGAAACACAAGTATTCGTGCTGCCCCACGGAGCTGGAGTAGAAGCTGCACAAAGAATGGAGACGCCAACCTTGGCATGGGGAGAGCAGGGAAAGTGAAGCCTCACCCGTCCCTCGCGGTGTTAGTACTGGAAGTGAAACGGGCACCACGTGGCCGGTTTCGGCTCCGGGGACCGCTGTGCAGTGCAGCGAGCACACGCTGCTGAACTACGCTGGAGAAGGGCTATGGGGCTGATGCCCAGCATAGCTCTCATCATGTCCCTCACCTCTGCGGAGGTGTGCTCTCCGCTGGGCTATCTGATCTGTTAGTTTTAAAACAAAGGGTCAGTGCTACAGCTGTCCTGCGAAGACCAGCACTGAAGTCACAGTGCTACCTGCAGGGAAACATTACGCTTCAGACAGGTAACGACGCAGGCTGCGAGGACAACGGCTCTTCAACTTGCAGATCAGGACCTTGCCGAGGTAAGGGATCGGCATACTGTAAATGATGCATCTCGTGCAAAAGGGTGAACCTCCTGCTGCGCAGCCCTACTCTGTTAAGTCAGGCTTACTTTTAGGGTAAACCTTCCAAGAGTTGGTTCTTCACTACTTAAATGGCATTCACTTGGCAGTGAAACTGTACAGCCTGGCCATTTTTGTACTGGTCTCACAACGAGCCTTCACTAATGGTATCCCAAAATGTACTTTACCTTAGTACCAATGCAAATGCTATGAACGATTACTGTCTCAGAATTTCATCCAACTCAGATTCTGAGCAGATGTAAAAATATGAATTACTTCATGCTAAAATAGCAATACTAAATGAGAAACTACAGAAAAACCATGATGCGTAAACATACACTCTTTTCTGAGAATATACGTACTACAATAAAACCCTACCAAACTTTATACTGAAGAAAAAAATGAGTACCAGTAGCAACGGCCTGAAATTCTCAGCCTGTACAAATGTGTCATTTTATACTATCAATAAAATCTCTGTCACACAGAGGAGATGTGTCAGTGATGTCTGCATAAAAATACCAAGGTAAACATTATGAAATCTGAAAAACATCCTAAGGGATTTTTAGAGACTTTCCCCCTTGTTTCTGTGACATGCTGTAGTGTACCACCTACCTGCCTACTTGCACCATTTTCTTTCAAATTAAGTTGTGCAAATACCAACTCTTCCGTGCCACCAGCGTGCATGCTCAAACAAAATCAGTTCCACTGCTTAACTGAAACAGAATTACATTGCACAGCTTCAAATCAGCGCTGCTGAATCCACTGCACTCTCTGAAGCATTCAACATTGGCGGCAAAGCAATGGACTGGCCACGATGTGCGGTCTTGATACGTGACATTGGCTACTGAGATATTCAGTCAAACCGATGGCTTAGATCTAAAACAACAGTGAGAGCCAGCTGAAGTAAAACTTCACATATTTGAGACTTGAACCAATTTATTAATACCAAGTGTGTTCAGCATATTTTGTATTGCGGATACAGTATCATGGCATTGTCATATATATTAAAAGGCAAATAATTGAAAGGCCTGTACTATAATGTAATTTTTTTTTTATGTAGCTCTGTAAGGAACTAATTTAAAGCATAGTTATGTTTTAAGAAAATCTTAGAATTGAAGCCGTCTTAGTCAATTTTATCTTTTTGGATTACAATTTCTAAGGTTGTGTAAGAGGTGCTGTTTTCTGCAGCAGCCAAAGATTCAAGTGACTTAATGTGAGAGTAAATGACTGGGTTTGAAGAGCCAGGTTTCTGGGAACAGGGCTGTAACAGAAATACACCCTCTATAGACCAGGCATAGAAAGAAAATTATACCACATACTATCTAGTAAGTAATAAATTTCAAAAATTCACTGTCCTACAACTGAGCTAAAACTCCAGACTAGCAAAAAAAGGTGATTATATGCTACTTCTGGAGTGTAAGTTGAACAACTCCGAGGGCTCTTAACACACAAGAGACCACAGCAGATCCGTAGGAAGCCGTTTAAAAACCTGAAAGTTGCTTCAGCACAAAAAACCACATTTGCCACAAACATGTGCCATACCTGATGTGCGTGCCTCTGCGCTACTCCATGGGCCACTGATCTAAGAACTCTCTTGCTTAGCTGTGGCAGGTCAGGCTCTCACAGAGGTTCATTGGGGCCTCTGGGTTACAGTTACTAATATTACAGTTTATGTCCTTCGGTCATTAAGAAGCTAAACTATACTTGATCTCTCACATGCAAACTTTACTTACGCCTACGTCAAAGCAAGTCGGACGTCTGTCTAGCAGGTAACACCACAAAATGTGGTTTCTTGGTGTGGCCAAGAAACACATTACATATTTACATCCCTGACTGTTACGATTTTATAATTGTGAAGACTATTGCAAGTTTGATCCTGAATTTATAAAGACCACCACCCTGCCTCTAGAAAGCCATGTTGTTACCCTTATCTGAAAAAGCACAGAAGGTCTTTGTGATCCAGGATCATTCCCTCCTCTGGAGAAATAAAATGAGAAGGAAGCTTCATGATCTTTGGATAATGGAAATGGCAAGAGGAAAGAGCAAAAGTAAAGCTATTAAGATATCATGGTATTATGAACACAGTAGTTCTGTAGGTGAAACTGTTCATGATTATAAACTCCTGGAAAATCAGATCTATGGGGAAAGGAAACTCAGATTAAAATATGTCAGATTTGGAGGACTGCTTTGGGCCACTTAGACAAAAGAAGTTAAAATATTTTGGTTTTCACTTCTGTGTTTCAAAGGGACAGCAAATTTTACTAATTACTTGCCCAAAACATTGTAGATAATGCATTTTTATTCTTCAGTGCTCCATTAAACATAGAGCAGCCAAATTCACTTCTTCATCAGAAACATGCACCAAAAGATGTAGTCTTTCTACATTTCTAAATAAAACTTTTTCATTACAGTTCTAAAAAACTTGGTATGCTTTTTACAGGAGAAAGCAATACAAATTTCTTAGAGAGGCTCCTTCATACTTGGATGTAAAAGCAGAATGGCTGATGCACCAGTTTCTTCACTGAAATCAGCATTTCTTTTGTAAAATTTCTTCTTGTAAAATATTTCTTTTACAAGGAAAGTATTACCAGACAAAAAAGGCTGGGAGTTCTTAGACTCTAAAAAAAAATAATTCTGAGGCAGTCTTGGAGAAGTGTCACTTAGACAAGAATAAACTCTCTGATGAAACTTCTTCCTTATCTTTCACAGACTTGTCTTATGTCAATTTGAACTTATACAGAGAAGATGGTGCCTGCTGGTTCATAATTCAGCTTCCTGTCCAACATTCTTACTATAGATTACATTGGTAAGGTCCAAAAGTTAATTAGGGCAGAAGTTCTCTGGAAATGCATCAAAAGTTTCCGAGGACTTGATCAAGGCCTTGGTCCAAGTCAAATCAGCATCTGAAATTAGATGTCATTAGCTTCTTAATATAAAAAGATGCATTTTACATGCCATGCATCTTCAAGTTCTGCATGTAAAACCTGGGCACAAGGAAGTTTAGGCCAAATATTAAAGCCATCCATCAATCTTAGATCAATGGGGATAATGATCTATTTTGAAGCAAGTATTTATTTTTTGTGCAGTATTTAAACTGCCGGTTCAGTTCTGTACAAGAGCGAAGATGCTTTCTCATGAAGAGATGTCGTATTCAATGGACTTCCAGCAGGAAAAATCAATCTTTATCAGCCTGGAAGATTGTGGTGTTTGGGTTTTTAAAAACTTCATTAGCAGAAGTTACGTAACTATGTTTTTTTCCCTCCAGGAAATGTTTGAATGCATTTCAGAGGGGGCAGGGAGAGGAAGAGAATCAGCAGCATTTAAAAATGTAGACAATTACCTGGAACCAGAATAACTTTCCTGGTCTAATGACAGAAAAATCAGATTAACCGTACATTAGATGCTGTACTTAAAGATAAGTAAATTATGGCTTTTAAACCAACTTTTCTGCTTTTAGCAATTTTTTTAAGCTTCTTGTTGCATTTTCTCCTTAATGCTGTATTTCTTTTGATTCATCAGGATCTGCCTCTTATCTACATTGTCAGTCTTGTTTGCATTTACCCACTGTCTTAGAAGAGACTTACATAATTGGGAATTCCTATTCTGACAGCGCTCGTGGGGTCACTCTTTGGTTTACTCTATTTCTGCAGCCCTCCACTTCCATACATTTCGGTTCTTGAAATCATTTTATCCTTACCGCCTCAATTTAAATTACATTAGGTCCAAACCTTCTATTCCCGTTTATTCAGTTCTTAACTTCATTCTCTCCTCTCCAGAGCTATTTGTTCTCACCGTAGGCTTTACTTCTACACGGAAGCATTTCTTATATTCCAAGCTGCAAGACACAGGATCTACTTTCAGTGGCCTGTCACGTTTAAGAAGCAGGGTCTGACCTTGTCAGACGCCTACAGTTTTAGGTGTGCCTGCAGCTATCCCGAAGGAGGGAAGAGCTGGAGTTACACCGGCCATCTTCACCCTGCAGCACCCCGTCCTCTGACTAGGTAGATCTATCCGGGTGACTGTAGTTGAGGCTTAGGATCTTATCAAATACCGCTTTCATCCCTTGAGATCGTCGGACTTCGCTTGAACCAGGACGTCAGGCCCACCAAATCACCACCTTTGCTAAAAAATAAGGCCAGCCGGAGGGAAGGGTCCCCCTCACCGGCGGGGCCCGGCGCTCCCCGACCGCCACCAGACCGTGCCGGGAACGTGAGGGAAGCCCAGACCCGAGAGGTGGCGGAGACTCCCTCTGCCCACCCCCCGGGCCGGGAAACCGCTCACTTGCCGGTACTACCCCCTCAGGTCTCCTCCCTTTCTGTTCCCTTCCGAAGGCGGGCAGCGGCGAGCGGGGCTGACCCTGAGGGAGGCGGCCGAGGAGCCGCCGGTCCCCCCCCCGCCGGCGCTCTGCCTGCGCATGCGCGTCCGCCGCCTCAGCGCCACACACGCTACGCGCGGTGCAGGGCGGGCGAGCGGGCCGGCGGCGCGGTGAGTGGTGGTGGCGGCGGGCGGCCGGGGCTACGGCCTGAGGGGAGCGGAGGGGCGCGGAGCTCTCCCCGCTGGTGGCCGTCGTCCCCGGAGGGCTCTCTCCCCTCAGAAGAGGCCCCGGGGTTGGGGGGGGGTTCGCGGCCCTGGCGGTGGGAGCCTGGCTCGTCCCGTCCCTCCCCCCCCGCCCCGCGGGGTTAGCGGCTTCTCCGCTTGTCCCGCGGTCGCCGGGGCTACGGCTGACGGGCCTCCTGCTTGTGGGGCTGGAAAGTCGGGTTTCGAGCCAGTTTAAGGAGCAGCGGAGGGAAATGACGGCTTACTGTAGTGCCTTTGGGGGCAAGAAGAGCAAAACGTTTGTCTCTTTTGCTGCCAGCCCCTTGCTGTGACGGAAACAGTCCTGCGAGCTGGTTTTATTTATTTTTTTTTCTCTAGTGCACAGCGGTCTTTTTTACAGAAAAGACTGGGAAGCGTAATTATTTTGGGATACCTGATTTTTAGTGCTGCTGGGGATTGAATATTGAGGTGTTGTGGGAGGGATATCAAGGGTTCCGAGGCTGTGGGCTGTGAAATACCTGGGGTTTGTGTGGGAACCTCCACGTTAGTCTGTGGGGTCGTTAATTTGCGTCAGGGATTGCCAAAAGTGCAGCAGCGCTGAGGAGCTCAGAGCGGGAACAGCTGGGCCTGGCTTTGGGGCTGCTGTTAAATGTTATAAAGCTCACCTTTGGGAAGATAAAAATGTGGGCTGCGTATCATTCTTGAAGGGTCTAAATGAGCTAGTGGATTTTTGTTCTCTTATCCCATGTCGTTAGACAGTGTGTGGTGTTTAAATAGATAAGAAGAAAGTCCACAGAAATGTACATCAGTTTGCACGTGTTCATCAAGCCAGATATTTCCTATCTAGTTACAACTCAATAAACACACAGCAGCTTCTCAGCCTGGGAAGAATGTTGCCCTGGAATCAAGTGATACGGTGAAATGGGGAGTTTCACTTCTTTAATACCTGTCAATTAAAGTAGATTACTCCTATGAATTACCTATATGAGAAAATGGGTCATCTGTTAATTCAGCCCTGTTATGATTAATGCTCCATGTTTGCTCACAAAGTTGTAAGAATGGGGATACGTTTAATAAAGTTAACTGTGGAAGTCAGTGAGAAGTAGGTCTTTCACAGGTAATAGTTCTGTTTTGCATTTTTTGGTAAAAATATTTTTGTCTTAAAAAGTTAATTTTGAAAAGCATGCGATCCTTTGTACAACTCCCCCCTGCCCCAAAACTGGATTCTAAGTTAAGCCTGAGTAATTATCTTGCATTTAGAAGCTACTGAAGGGTCAGACAAGTTGTATATCAGGTGAATGGTACTATGTAAATTCCTTCTCTCATACTAAATATATACACATGCCCATGTACATACATACATGTGATTCTGATGGACATTCCTCTAAACTGTCCTTAAAAGCGCTTGGTGAAGGAGATCCCAGGTATCCTCTAGGTAATTAACTTACAAATACTGTATTTATGGTTTTTTTGACTGAATCTTTGGAAGGAATGTGAGGTTTTTAGGATGCTTCTTCAAGATTTGTGAAAAGCCTGCAAATGATCAAAATAGTAAGTATGTTCACATTGGACATCCTGAGTGTGTCAACTGCTCATGTTTAAACTGTTCAGACAGCTCATGTGTCATGAACCCACTGCAAAGGAGCAGCTTTGACTTACTGTGCATTAAATTTGACGTGAAGAGCAGTATGCTTAGTGTGTATGCTCAGGTAATCTGTTTGGGTTGTACTGAATCTATTGCTTGTATTTTGGCTAATATGTGTATCAATTATAAAACACAGCTCTAATTTTTTGGAAGAATTACTGTTTTTCAATATTTTCTAATAGAGGTTTGTGATCGGTTCACTAATGAGCTGTAAAGATGTAACATCTGCTATGTGTGAAATTATAAACAACAGTTATGAAAAGCTGCCAAGTTCTAGGACTGAATTTAGTGTGTTTTTTTATGCAGAATATAATAGATGCTCCCCTGCGCTCCAAATGTTTGCATTCATTTACGTTCAGTTGTTTCATTAAGGTGCAGAGAGGTGGTACCTTCAAATTCTTGATAACACTTTTTTTTCTTTTGTTGTCATGAGTGTTTTCTTCTTGAGCATGCGGAAGATAATTTTGTGAGAATCTGAAATGTTCTTCTTGGAGAATTTTGAAGAGACACTATTTGCTCTCATAAATTTGAAACTACAACAATCTTTTCTTGTTTTCCTGTTTTGATAGGGCCACAGAACCAGTGGTTGCTTTTCCTGCTGGATTCATCATGATAACTCCAGCTTTTGAACTGACCCAGGATCCAGATTTTCTTACAATAATAATCAAAGTACCTTATGCCAGAGCTTCAGAGTTTGACGTGTATTTTGAAGGGGAAGATTTTAAATTTTATGCTAAGCCGTACTTTCTCAGGCAAGTAGTGGAAGGATTTAAAAAAAAATTAACTTTATAAAATAAATAAAAGTCAGTAGAGAATGAACTTCATTTTGGTCCTTTCAGAACATTCCTCATCTGCAGCTTTTACACTGTCAACTGTAGACAGCCCATTTCATGCAAAGTATTGTTTTTATGGATCTGGCCTCTTTGTTTCTAGGCATTAAATCACATTAAAGGGAGTTTAAAGGAATACTTCTCTAAATTTACTTTACAATAGATTTTTAATTGTAAAATGGCATGAAAATTCTCTGGATGTATGGAAGTTGTGTAGAATAAGCGTGTCTTTTCCCTGTTGAGAGCCAGCTACAGCATATTTGGTGAAGAATGGATTTTCATGCACTCGTAATAACATAGCGGGGGGGAAAAGTCATGTGAGTGGGGGCAGTAGGAAGTGAGGTTCCAGGCTGTATCTTTTCTCTAGATAGCAAGTTCCCCACTATGCTATAGAAAAGGAACAAGAAGCAATCTTAGTATGTGTGTTAAGTGTAAGAGCTGATGAGCTATTAATCTATCTCATTTTCTGCTTCCGGAATTCTTGAATATGCTTCCCCTATATACATTAGTAGACCACAAGGGACTTTAGTGGACTGGTAGAATGCAGTGACTTAGTTATTCTGAATAAGCAATACAAGAACTCTGGATAAGTCCTCATTTCCTGTCACTGTGGGTTAGCTTAAAGTTTTTAAATTGCAGCATCTTCCAAGTGTTGCACATAGTGCGAAGGGCATCATCTCTGTGGTGGCTGTGACCTCATCCAAGCTGGGAAACCAGGAGTCACAAATTTTCTCAATCTCAGATGCTGATCTCTTGTGCCAATAGTTAGGGAAAAAGATTTTGAAGTACATGGGGATTTAACTGCATGACTTCCATTACTGTCAAAAGGAGTCATGTAGTCAAGTCCTTTGTGTTGCTTTTGGAATGTGCCTTACATTTTTACAGGCTGAGATGTTAAGTTGCAGAATTAGTTAGGCATTCAATGAGGCATCTCATTTTTTGCCTGCAGATTGACACTTCCTGGAAGAATTGTAGAAGATGGCAGAGAAAAAGCATCTTATAATACAGACAAAGGTATTAGTTAATATTATTAGTATTAATGTGCCATTAAAAGTGCAACTAACTCTCTGATTATTTATCCTTTGCTCCACTGGAATTGCGTAGAACTTCAGTGAAGTATACAATACTGTGAATAAATGTAAAGTTTCTCTTGTGTTACGCAGTATTAAAAAAATCTTGCTCAGGATATATCATACGTACTTAGGCCATCCTTAAGCACAGAGGACGTGTTCAAAACTGTTCTAATAATGAAAAAATTATGTACAAGTCCTCTTCAAGCCCTGGGGGGGTTGGTCATGTTACTGTAGCAAGATCATTAGTCTAGTAAATCCACAAAGAAGTCAGGTAGCGCTAAGTAGAAATGAGAGAATCCTGAGGCAGTCTCTTGGCTACATCTAAAGAGAGAAGACATTAGCCTTTCTCCACACTTTAAGGTGGAAGATACTTCTGGAATAAAATATGTACCTTCTGTAATTAATATCTTCATTAAAAAACCCAGCAATAAAACCTATAATTTGCTGCTTGCAAAGCCTTTATTACATGCTTGACTTAAGACAATAATCAGATTGCTGAATGTAGTTTCCTGTGATCTTCTGTTGGTTTGCTTGACTGGTAAAAGGATTAAAAATAAAATAAAGCTTGTATTGTGTTGGTTTGTGTTTATACACTGTAAGTCAGGAGGCCACAACTGGTTAAATATCCTCTTTCATGCTTTATCATTAAAATCTTTGATTTTTGTGAAACTTGTGAAGTAAGGTTAAAAACATGTGCAGATTGATGCATAATAAAATGCTACCTGCATGTGTCCCAGTTTCTGTGAGCCTTTTTTGTTAGAGGAAAAATGCACATTTTTGTTTGTCTGGATATTTTAATGCACTAACTAGATTCTGACTTTCCTTTAAGGAACTTTTACAATTCGGTTACCTAAGGAGATTCCTGGCCAATATTTTGAGGGACTGGACATGCTGACATCTCTCTTAGCACCAAAGAAATCAAGATCAGCAAAACCTTTAGTTGAAGAGATAGGTATGACAAAAAAAATCTTGCTTATCCTAGTGATACATGTACATAATGAAATAGTTATAGGTCTACATAGTGATATATGTAGAAAAATACAGTATTTCTATTATTGTCTAGTCTGAGGTACGAGAAGGGTGTGAATTAATCTGAAAGTACGGGTAAGTATAGAAATAAATGTGTTGTAGGTTATATACATATCATCTTTATAGTCTTAGTTATGTTTACATTTTTTCAAAATGTGCTTAACATATGCTAATCCTCTGCAGATCTTTGTACCCCTCTAGTGGCTGTATAATACACACACATTTGAGTCTTCTGCTTACTACAAGCTAGCACAGCTGGACTTTTAGCTCAAATGGTAGAAGCTAATTAAAACCACGGGTTCCAGTGGGTGACTTAACATCACTATTTAACAGACAAGAATGTTTGACTATCTGTGTTTAATTTTTTAATACCTTTCTTAAATTATTGATAACATCACTTTGCTCCTGTCAGGGTTCTCTTAGCATCAAATTCTGATCTTGTTGAAATCAGTGGAACAATAATTTCAGTCTTTGAGGGAGTATACTTAATAACTTTAGTGTTCCCGGTCTTTGTTTTTAAGAGTTGGAGAATTTGGAGCAGGACCTTTGGATTACTGATGTAAGCATCTGCCTGTATGGCCCAGTGTTGTATAAGTTTTCTTAAAAGATGTAGTAAAATGAAAAAGCGTTATTGTGTTATCAGTGTTTGCCTCTCTATTAAATCATATATATTTTCTATGTAATACTTTTCTTTCTCTGACCATGCGATATATACAGCTGCCTCTGCTGAGTTGTCTGAGGAGGAGGAAGAAGAATTTGACTGGGAAATAGAGCAGACCCCTTACAAAGAAAGTGCAGAAGGCACTCTACCACTAGAGTACCGTTACGGATTTGGGAATTTGCGGTCAGGGGTGTTCCAGCGGCTGCAGGTAGGTGCATTTTTGTCTTTTCCTATCATAAAAGTTCTGGGTAACTTTCTTGTTGGTGAGGCCTCCTGGCTCCTGCTGTAGTCAGGAGGGGATCATTCGGTAACTGTTCTCTATTATCCCATTCTGTGACTAAGAATATACTGCTTTTGCATGTAGTAGTACAGGCAAGTCCTTGTTCCTGTAGAAGTGGGGGGTGGTCAAGACTGAGTTAATCGTGTTGCAGAGTCACCAGGCCAACCTGTTTCTGCAGTAGTTTCAGTGTTAGAGGAGAGGGCTGAATAGGGTCCTTGGCCTCTGGAAGTGGGCTGCTATCGCTAGCACGTGAAGGCACGGAGAAAAAGGCCTTTATGAAGTAGGCCACGTGCCAGGTAAACAGTTCTAGCAAGCTGCAAACAGTCTACAGGCTGTTAAGTCTGCTGTTAATGCTTTTGCTTTATAGTTGGTGTTGCCTTCTGTTCTGACTTCAAGCATATTTAACATCAATGTACAGTATATTTCAGATGCCATGAATTTTATTTATTTTTAAATTAAAAAGAAATTAGTCAATTAAAATAAAGCTGGCTGATCTATAGGTCCTGTTATGGTTGTTACGTTAAAGTTTTTTTCATTGTGAAATTCATGGTAATTTTCTCTTTGTACTTTTTATTTTAGACTTGATTTTCTCACAAGACAATAACTTTTGAAGTGTGCACTCTTCAAGGTGTCTGCCCACCTGATATTTGTGTGACTTGCTAGGGTTATGCTGATGCACTGAAATTTGCTTTTGTGGATTAATTGGTAGGATAGGAGCTTTAAAATGCAGTTACTTTGCTCTTGTGTGTTCAGCAGTTTCTTTAATTCATGAATAGATTGAATCTAATCTAGAACCTGTAGCATGCTATGTAGTGCAATAATATTTGTAGTATACAGAGCTTTTATTAAAATAGTAGATGATAACTTAATTTTTTGTGGCGTTCTTACTCTAAGCAATTTAAGTTGTAGCTGTTTAAAGCAACTCAGTTATATAACTCAACTCATTATTGCATGAACTGTGGTATTTTCAGGGTTTGGAGCAGAAGGATTGCTATTTATGGGGAAAGTATTTACATTCTGTTAGAGTATATACACTAGTTTATTACCATGAAACTCGTGAAGAAGTACATTTCCCATCAGCATTAATGTACCACTACTTGATGCTTAATAATGTTGGGCAACATGGGGCATGGCCACTTCAGAGTGCGAGGGTAATCTCAAAAGTTGCAGGAACAGTATCTGTGGGTTTTATCTTGTCCTTGTTGTGGTTGTGTGCTTTTGTTAAACATTGCAAATTCTATCGTAATGCAAAATAACCTGCCTGCCTTATGATAAAACAGCCTGAATAGACTTCATAGTATCATGAATTCTAAGGAGCTTCAAATAATTGAATTTCCTTGGAATTTTGATGTTGTATTTGCACAATAGAGCCTGAATTTGGAAGATTGGAAAGGGAGGCTGAAGAGTAACTAGGGATTTCAGAGCAATGCTGATAAGCATCCTTCCTAAACTCTTACTAAATAAATCTTGCATATCATACCTGTGACTTGGTCATACAATTTTTGTTCCATTTGCAGGATGAACTCAGTGATGTTATTGACATTAAGGATCCAGACCAGACTCCTGTAGATGAACGTAGGAGGAAACGCCTGGCAGCTGAGGCTGCCAAGTTTGAGCCTGATCATTACCTGTGAGTATTGATTTACTTCACCTGGTCAAGTAAAACTACCTCAGTTGAACTATAGTCACTTTTTCTTTTCTTAAATTACTGGATTTGAGATCGCTTTTGGAAATAATAGCTTTACTTTTTATTTGTCTGTTTCTTTGTCTCATCACAGCAGGCCTTAGATAGTATTCATAAGTGTGACACTGACACAAGACCTTGCTTATCTGTTTTGGGGTTACTCTACTGTTTAATTACTGCTTAAGTCTGTATTCAAGCAGGGGCTGCTGTGAACTGTTGCAGAACATTTCATGGTTCACCTCTTCAGCAGCTGAGTAGCCAGTCCCTGCCAGCAGTTTGGGTTGTGGGTGTCAGAACTTTGTTTTCCCCATGTGAAACAAGGCGGGAAACTGAACCATCCTGGTCTATGAGGAAGTAAATTTGAGTTTTGAAGTTATGAAGATTTTGTCTAGGCCGCTTAGTTTTTTGCCTTTGACACATGAAACCTTTTTTACAGCAGAATGAGGAAAAGTTCCAAACCAAGACTTTGTATTTCTTTTTGCTTCATCCTGTGTAACGAAGGTGGAAATGATTCTTCGTGCCTTTCATGTTGGAGCATTTCAGGTCAAGTTAGGTTCAGAAACTTCCAGATAAGTAAACTAAATTGCAGCCATGAGATCTACTGCTACAGTGATTCCTGCAAGCTTGATTTGGTGGGAGAAGAGTGTAGTCCCCACTAGGGCGAATTAGTACTCGTGGTGTATTTTGCTGGGGAGAGGTAGGCTTAACCCATTTTGAGTTGTTTCAGAAGGTATCTTTACAAACTTTGAATTTTTCCCCCGTCAGGTGTTTCAGAGGCAGCCGCATGTCTTTCTGTAGCACACAGAAATTATAAAAGCTTTCTTGAAACATCACTTGGAAGTACATTTCACTAGAACTGAAGTAGTGCGTAGCCTATAATGTGATGCAAAGTACAGTAATTGTAAGTTTCCATCTTAGACTCTGTTCAAGCCTGGTAGATGAGCTACAACCATTTAGTTTAATGGCTGTGTTTTGGATGCTTCAGAACAGATGATACCAACCTTTCTTCAACAAAAATTGTTTTTCTGTGTACCCTGATGAGAAGGACAGCTCTGGGAGCAAACAGAAGTGTTCTGTTGCCTATGAGGAAAATGTACACTGGCTGATAGCTTTAAGTTACTTTATAAAGACGCTGAAGGAAGGCATCAAAAAATCTATTGGTGTGAGAGCTTACATTCTGTGCACAGTAGACTGGACAGGTTTTGTATGATGATTAAGAAGGTATTAAGAAATTTCCTGCATTATTTTCAGTTCTTGGTATTTATACTATTGTTTGGCTTGAAGAAAAAGCTAAAATGGTAAGAGGAGGCTTAGAACTTGAATCCTTCAGTATAAATCCTCCCAGAATTGCTATATTGAGATTTTTACCATAGTGGCTTTGTGCTGAGATGGAGGTAATCTCTCTTCCAGAATTCATGTACAACTCTTCTTTTTCTACCTTGTTACAGCATGTCTTTGTTTACCTAAAAGTCAGTCCCTAGCCCTACTTTATCTTTGCCCTTCAGCTGCATACCTTTCCTCTCCAAAGTATACGCAATTTTAAAGTGGGAGAGCTTGCCAGTAAAATCACATTTGCTGCCAGTGACATTCTCTGAGAAGTCTTTTCTTTGGCATGTTTTCCTTTAGATTCATCCAGAACAAATCAGGTTTGTTTACCTTCATGTCATGCTGCAAGCTCATCAATTTCCGATGTTTCTGGGTGACTCAAGAAAGGTGGGGGTGGTAAGGAAGGGGTACTGTAAGATAAGAGAATATTGTTTTGGCTTTTAATAATGATTATTTTCTGGTTTTCAGTCAAAGTACAGCTACTGGTCAGGTTTGTTGTATTTCTAAGGTATGGAAAATAGCCTGTAGCCAAGTCAGGTGTATTCTATGCATGCATTAAAATATACCCACATACACTATAAACTGAAATAAATAGCATATGACTTTCTGTTTTTTTTTTTTTCTAGAGCTGATTTTTTTGAAGATGAAGCTATTCAGCATGTCTTAAAGTACAAACCGTGGTGGGTTGATGCTCATAAAAGAATGATAGCCTTACAAGGAGAAAGTCATCGGGAATATGACAGTCGTACATTTGGTGAGTACATCCATATATACACACACCTGTTGTCTGAATGATAATTACTGTGATGCTATGTTATGTTCTAGGTTATTGTTCTTGAAGGAAGAAATATGGTTTTACCCTACAATTTTCAGTCTTAACTGTGCTTCTTAGAGGAGCAGTCTGTTACTTCTGCTGTCCTTGAAGAAAAATTTTTTTTTCTGATGGACAGTTACATACTGAAATCTTTGAGACAGTTGTGTGTGGAGCACACATATTATAAAGTGGTCATTTCATCTTAAGCATTTACATGTTAGTTATTTAGTGTAGTGCGTGATCTCTTTTTCGTCTGCATAACAAATTTTGGAGTTAACTGTTCATGAAGGCCATTCTAGAATTTCGGGTATCTATGAAGAAAAAGTTCCCTTTTAAGGGTGTGCTGTAATCTTGCAAGATTTCAGAGGAGCTGCCAGTGTCAGTAAGTTATGGCATCTGAGATCAAATCAAACCTATCCTTGTGTAGTGATAGTAATAGCTAGAAAATGGGTCCTTTGTTGCTGGTCCTTATCTCCTCTGTTTTTCAGATTTTTCAAGTAACTGTACTCCCTCTCTTAGTTGTATTTTCAATGGAAAAATTACTCAAAACTGGTTTTTGTATCCACTTCCAAATAAGGTGCAGATACTTCACAGCAAGTTTTCCAAGAATCAACTATGGAAGATTGTACTAATATCTCTGTTTGATGAACACGTCTTCTGTAGGATGTTTTATTTTATTTACACAGTATGACAGAAGTTCATGGCATTTATTACTCTACTGCTATTTTTATGGGTCTCAGAGACTTTTTTTCAAAGGAAAAATCTTTGTGTGCTTTTAGAAACTAAATGGAATGGTTTCAGGTTTAGTAGATGACCTTCTAGCAGTACTGTTAACAGATAACTGAGATTACCTTTCTGTACACAGTGATTGCAGAGAGCATTACAAGTTACTATTATGCATATTCTTTTATTGTCCTTTGTTCATTTCCTATGTAGTATGAAAATCCGATATTACTCCAGTAGATAATGATAATCCCTTCACCAGAGGTTCTTAACAAATATTAGTGCACTAATAATACCTGCACTTTCACATTTTCTATGGGAGAACAATGGAATTTGGGTAAATGTTATGTATTCTACTGTGAATGTAATCTGATCTTCATTACTAGTCTCTTTTCAGCCTCTGAAGCCAGAAATTGTTAATTATATCCATCGTAAGCATTTGATTTTAAAAAGCATTGGACAAAGGTATGAGAGGCTTGAAAATAGAATAATGAGGGGATCTTTTGTTTGTTTTTATCCATTCACTCTGTAGTAAATGAAACACTGCTAATGTTTGCCTGTGTTAAGGAGTATAGCAAAAATGAAGAGCTGCTGGATGATTTTATTGATAAAGTTTTTACTGCAGATTGAGATTCTGAAGAAAAACACATATGTATGCCACTGCATTTTGGGGGCAACAGCAAAAGCTCGAAAGCCTGGCAATCCTGCTAATGAAAGTTACACAGAAAATGGGACTGCATAAAGGATCATCTTTTCTCTAAATCATTTGTTATAACAGACATATATTTAATAAGGATGATAAAAAAAAAAAAGTCCAGCCTTTGTATGGTTGAATGAAGAGCATGTGGTTTTGTGGATCTTGGGGAAATTTAAGTAACATAAGAGGCTATCTGGTGTTTGGGTTATGTTAATGACAACCACCCACCTTTTCCCTTAGCAAAACCTCAGTTTTGACAACATGGTTACAGCTGTTTGAATGGCAACAGTGGCTGGGGATGGCAAGTGGCTAATGTGGATCTGAAACCATTGGAGGTTCCTAAACCTGAGTGAACTGTGGTGAAAGAAACCACCATGAGAGGGAGTACAGGTTCCACTTGAAGGTCTCTTATGAATGAAAATACAAAAGGGCAGAAGGTGGGTCCAGGCTGTTGGACCCAGAATCTGATCGTCAATAGGATGAGTTCTCTGTGGTTTTATATTGCTTTTATGCTTTATCCAATCAAAGGCATGGTCTGGCTAATCCGAGTTACAGATTCAGGAATTCTCACAAGCTGAATGCAATTTGACTGCATGTCTGCATTAATACGTATTCCAGTATGCATGCTTAGTGAAGTGGAAGTGACATAGAAAAGGCACATAAAAGAAACAAGGACTGTGCTAAGTGAAGGACCTTCTTTACTACTTGAGAAATTTTATGTTATTTCCCCTAGAACTGGGGAGAAGTCTGGCTGCATTAAGCGAAGGTGTGCTATACAGCTAGAAGGATAAGGAGGCTGTCATTGGTATTAGGGTGTGCTTGTAGTGAGAAGCCTTTGAAGACTAGTGCTTAGCTACAAAAAGCCAAAGGGTACTCGAGCACAGAAGCTCTAGGAGCACGAACGTTATATGTATTGCAGTATGTTTCAGGGTGTTTTATGAAGTGATGTGTGGTGATTCTTTGAGCTTGTGTATGCATGTATCCCCCTGCAGGTAGGTGTGAGGTCAAACCTTTTTTATTATAAAAATCAGATACAAATGTCCCCTGTTTACTTTTGAACCTGTTTAAGGGCATAAAGGAGGAGGGATTGAAACCTTCATGCAGTTTCTTTTTATTGCTTATGGAAAAGAGGCATAAAATGAAGAGTACACAGATTTCTTACTCTTCCCGAGTTCCAAATTCATGTCTTGTGTTAAGGAAAGCATCTACAATAAGGTAATTTCCATCATCTTCTATGATGAGGACTTCCAAGCATACAGCTTGTAAAGAGACTTCAAATATTGGGATGTTTAAAACGCGTACAACTCATGGTAGTTGTACTGCCATGGCCAGCTTGCAAAAACATTTGTCTGTCCTGTGTGAATGAAGGTTGTGTTCTTGATAAAATGTGCTGTCCAAAGCTGTTACACAAGAAGATTGAAATGGAGAGATACGATGGAAATCATGTGCTGTCAGATGTGCAGCATCTCGTACTGGGGAAGTCTGCTACCCTCAAACATGAAATGGTGTATCTGTTTAGAGGGTTGTTTATTGAGTGTAAACTGACTGGTAAGACAAGAAGGTAGGAATGTTAATGTTAAAACTGATGATGGATTACAGTACAGGCCACCACAATATTGGGGTACTGGCACTAGAATTTGACACCTGGTACGTTTAGAGTCCCTGTATTTTGTGCTCTATTACTGCTGCCATTAGGACAGTTCCTGCCTACACAGTGTCTGTGGAATCAGGAATGTCATTGGGAACTGACTCGTCAAGTTGCTGCAGGGAAAAGTGAGTTTAGTGTGGGAAAGGGACATAAAAACTAGCAGGTTTTTTAAAAGTGTATTTTCTTATTCAGAAACACTGAACCAAGAGAACTATTTTTTTCTTCCTTTTGCTGATTTGTATTGATGTCCTTTTGGTTTTTATCTTCTTTGGTTTCTTGGAACCAAAAACTTGATTACTTTTGTCTTTATAATGTCTTCGGCTACAAAGAGTAATTAGAAATACAGATCGCTGTTTTGGTTTTGGGGTTGTGGGGTTTGTTTTATTTTTTTTGTATGGCATTACAATTAACTGAAGATTTTGTTTTGTTGATTACTGCTCTTGCTTTCATCCCCGATTATTCTCTCTTTTGTTTTTACATCATCAGGGTTTTTTAATGTCTCATTACCAGATTTTTTCTTTTTGGATCAGCTCTTCTCATTAGGATGCAAAGTCTTCAGCTCTCCTCTATCCTTACCTTAAATCTATTTTTATTTAACCTTTTTACTTTTCCTCCAGCTTGTGTGTATGGTGTGCATGTTCTGTCTTTTTTTCATTTCTTCTTTTATTGTCCTAAGTGTCTCTTTTTTCTTTTGTCCTTTTTTATATTTTACTGTGTATTGTCTCTTCTTGCCCTTTGTGGTTTTTTTGTTTGTTTATTTTCCCCCTAGGCTTGTTAGCCACCAGGCAGCTAAGATGACTGCCTTTGAAGTATGGCTGAGGAACCGGAAGATACACTAGAGAGCAGGTTTCACCATCATGTTTCTAGCAAAATACCATTTTTGGAGTGGACATTTTTCTAAAGCTGAAGGCCCAGATTTTGTTCATGCTTAGTCTAATGCAAGTCAGGTAGTACTCCATAAAGCCTAACTAATTGCACAGCCTTTCCCATGAGGGAATAAAACTTTTGGAAAGCTTGCTTTCTGCTGCTGCTGAAGTTTTCATTAGAGTCTTGCTTCTACAGATTCCAGATAAAAGGTTTTTTGTATTTTCTAACAGTCACATTCAACTTAGTTAAAAGTTCATTTTTATTCTACTTCAAATTGCACAACCGTAAAAACTCCTTTTTAGGCAACACAATAATCTTCAAAGGCTCAGGCTGACATATGTATTTAATATAACATTTATATGCTCCAGGGATAATTTATTTTGTTTACGGTAACCTATCATGCTTACCAGTGACCATTCTCTCTTTCTGATCTCTTTATAGAATGAAAAGCAGTTTCTTTTTAAAGATCCACCTTTCAGTAGGGGTCTGCTTAATTATATACCAGTACTGGTAGATTCATAAGTTTAAGATTAGTTGCTTACTTTTCTTCTTTACCAGATTTCTGCAATTTTTCTGCCTACCTGTCTGCCTACTCAGTCTTCGGGGGCTTTGCAGCATGTGTACCTTCCTGGCACTCTTCTGCTGCAGAGCAAATATTTTTCACGTGAGGAAAAGTTGCTGTTTATTCATGCAAAATCCTTAACATATAAATGAGAGGTCTCTATTGTAAAGTATCTCAGATTTTAAAAGGCAAGAACAGTAAGACATGGAAGAAAGAATGATGTATGGTTTTGGTATGGTTTATAGGAACTGCAGATTTGTTGAAGAATAATGACAAAAATTAGTATAAGGGAAATTGTGATATCCAGGAAAGACTGTCCAAGTCCAATGACTTTATGGAGAATGTCTGGAGGAAGAAGGTCAGAGTGATATGGAGGAAATGTGCTGTAAATGTTGATTTGAGAATTAGAGAAGGGTGGAAGCTTGACATGGAAGAAAAGATAT